TGTCAGACTCTTTGTCACCCCATGGACCTGCAGCACACCACCTTGCCTGTCCATCACCAATCTTCGGAGCTTGCTCAAACTCATGTCCATCGAGTTGGTGATGCCATCCAACCGTCTCATCCTCTGTTGTCCCCTTCTCCTCCTGCCTTCAATCTTTCCCAGCATCAAGGTCTTTTCCAGTGAGTCAGTTCTTCTCATCAGGTGGCCAAAGTATTGGAGTTTCAGCTTCAGCATCAGTCCTTCCAGTGAATATTCAGGACTGATTTCCTTTAGGATTGACTGGTTTGATCTCCTCGCAGTCCAAGGGACTCTCAAAGAGTCTTCACCAACCCCACAGTTCAAAAGCATCAATTCTTCTGTGCTCAGCTTTCTTTATAGTCCAACCCTCACATCCATACATGACTACTGGAAAAACCATAGCTTTGACTCCATGGACCTTAATTGGCAAAATAATGTCTCTGCTTTTAATATGCTGACTAGGTTGGTCATAGCTTTTCTTCCAACGAGCAATTGTCTTTTAATTTCATGGCTGCAGTCACCATCTGCAGTGATTTTGAAGCCCCCCAAAATAGTCTGTCACTATTTCCATTGTTTCTCCATCTATTTGCCCTAAAGTGATGGAACCGGATGCCATGATCTTAGTTTTCTGAATGTTGAGTTTTAAGCCAACTTTTTCACTCTCCTCTTTCACTTTCATCAAGAGGCTCTTTAGTTCTTCACTTTCTGTCATAAAGGTGGTGTCATCTGTGTGTCTGAGGTTATCGATATTTCTCTTGGCAATCTTGATTCCAGTTTGTGCTTCATTCAGCCTGACATTTTGCATGATGTATTCTACATATAAGTTAAATAAGCAGGGTGGCAATATACAGCCTTGACATACTCCTTTCCCGATTTGGAACCAGTCTGTTGTTCCATGTCCAGTTCTAACTGTTGCTCCTTGACCTGCATACAGATTTCTCAGGAGGCAGATAAGGTAGTCTGGTATTCCCATCTCTTTAAGAATTTTCCACAGTTTGCTGTGATCCACACAGTTGAAGACTTTGGTATAGTCCATAAAGCAGAAGTAGGTGTTTTTTTGGAACTTTCTTGCTTTATCGATGATCCAACAGATGTTGGCAATTGATCTCTAGTTCCTCTGCCTTTTCTAAATCCAACTTGAACATCTGGAAGTTCATGGTTCAAACATACTGTTGAGGCCTGGCTTGGAGAATCTTGAGCATTACTTTGCTAGCATGTGAGATGAGTGTACAATTGTGTGGTAGTTTGAACAGTCTTTAGCATTGCCCTTCCTTGGGATTGGAGTGAAAACTGACTTTTTCCATAACTTGCATGGATTACCTTTTTCTATCCTCTCACTTTCAGTCTGAATGTGTTTCTAGATCTGAAGTGGGTCTCTTGAAGACAGCATATATATTGGTCTTATTTTTGTATCCATTCAACCAGTCTTTTTAATTGGTACATTCAGTCTGTTTATATTTAATTATCACTATCTATGTTCTCAGTTATCACTATCTATGTGATGCTGGGATGGATTGGGGGCAGGAGGAGAAGGGGACGACAGAGGATGAGATGGTTGGATGGCATCATCGACCCGATGGACATTGGTTTGAGTAAACTCCGGGAGTTGGTGATGGACAGGGAGGCCTGGAGTGCTGCGATTCATGGGGTTGCAAGGAGTCGGACATGATTGAGCAACTGAACTGAATGTTCTTATCGCCATTTTTAAAATTGTTTTGAATGTGTTTTTGTAGATCTTTTTTTTCCTCCTGTCCTCTTTTGTTCTCTTGTGATATGTTGACTATCTTTAGTGTTGTCTTTGGATTCTTTTTTCTTTTTTGTGTGTGTATCTATTTAGGATTTTTGGTTTGTGGTTACCATGAGGTTTTGGTGTAGCAGCCTATATATATACAAAATTGTTTTAAGTTGTTGATCTCTTAATTTCAAATGCATTTTAAATAGCCTGCATTTGTAGTCTCCTCTGCACACAGTTTCTGGTTTTAATATTATATTTATGTGTGGATGGTTTTGTACCTTTACTGGATGAGCCTTTACTAATGAGCTTTTCATTTCATAATTTTCTTATTTCTAATTGTGGCCTTTTTTGTTTAGAGAAATTGCTTTAGCATTTGTTTTAAAGCTGGTTTGGTGGTGCTGAATTCTTTTAGCTTTTGCTTGTCTGTAAAGCTTTTGATTTCTCTATCAAACACAATATTGAGCCTTGCTTGGTAGTCTTGGTTGTAGGTTTTTCCCTTTTATCACTTTAAATACATCATTTATATTTATATTATAAGGCCACTCCCTTCTGGCCTGCAGAGTTTCTCCTGAAAAATCCTCTTATAATCTTATGGACATTCTCCTTTATGTTATTTGTTGCTTTTCCCTTGTGGCTTTTCATATTTTCTCTTTCTTTAATTTTTCTAAGTTTGATGACTGTATGTTTAGCGTGTTCCTCCCTGGGTAATCCTGTATGGGATTCTCTACGCTTCCTGGACTTGGGTGACTGTTTCCTTTCCCATGATAGGAAAATGTTCAAATATTTTCTCAGGCCTTTTCTCTCCGTCATCTCCTTCTGGGACCCCTGTGATGCGAATGTTGGTGCATTTGACATTGTCCCAGAGGTTTCTTAAACTGTCCTCATTTCTTTTCATTCTTTTGTCTTTATCCTGTTCTGTATCAGTGATTTCCACCATCCTATCTTCCAGCTCACTGATTCATTCTTCTGCCTCATTTATTCTTCTATTGATTCCCTCTAATGTATTTTTCATTTCAGTTACTGTATTCTTCAATTCTGTTTGGTTTTTCTTTATATTTTCTAGCTTTTTGCTAAAAACTTACTGCTCTTTGATCCATTCTTTTTGAGTTCTTGGATGATCTTTATGATCTTTACTTTGAACTCTTTATCAGGTAGATTGCCTGTCTCCAGTTCACTTAGTCTTTCTTCTGGAGTTTTACCTTGCGCCTTCATCTGGAATATATTCCTTTGCCGTGTCATTCTGTTTAAATTTTTATTTTTGTTTGTTTTGCTTTAAACAACAATTTACTGTTTATTTTTTTATTTTAAAGATTTTAAATTTTTGGCTGTGCTGTGTCCCCATGGCTGCATATGGGCCTACTCTAATTGATGAGTGGGAGGGACTCTTTAGCTGTGGTGTGTAGGTTTCTCATTGCCGTGGCTTTTCTTGTGGAGCTTAGGCTCTCAGCACATGGGCCCTAGTACTTGCAACATGTGGGCTCAGTAGTTGAGGCTCATGCACTCTAGAGCATACAAGCCTCAGTAGTTGTGGTGCACGAACTTAGTCATTCTGAGGCATGTGGAATCTTTCCGGACCAGGGATCGAACCTGTGTCCCCGGTATTGGCATGTGGATCCTCAACCACTGGGCCATCAGGGAAGTCATCTGTTTTGTTTTGTTTTCTTTAATGTATGTAGTAGATAAGTTACATTTCTTGACCTTGGTGAAGTGGCCCTCTGTGGGGGATGTCCCGTGTGTCCCAATAGTACTCCCCCACCTATCTTGTTACCCAAGGGCCAGGGACCAGCTGGTCTCAGGGTGGTTTCTGACCTGTGCTTGCAGTTAGTTCCAGAGGCTGTGGGATTGTGCTTTTCTTGCTTCCGGTATCCGCCCTGGTTGGTGAGACTGGTCTGCAGGCTTGTGCAGGCTTCCTGTGGGAGGAACCAGTGCCTGCCCACGGGTGGGCAGAGTGGTTGCTGGCCCTCTGGTGGGCCAGGCTGTGTCACGGGGCGTGTCTCAAGGTGGCTGTGGGTCAGGAAGTGTTTAGGCAGCGTTTATCTTTAGATGAGTGGGACTGTGCTCCACCCTCTTGGTTGTTTGGCCTGAGGTGTCCCAACACTGGAGCTTATAATAGGCAGTTGGGTGGGGCCAGGCGTTGGTGCCAAGATCCTAAGCAAGATGTTTACCTCCAGTCAGAGTTCACATCTCTGTGAATACTCCCTGATATGTCAGCTGCCAGGGAGAGCCACCCTACTCCCTACTTCCTCAGGAGACCCTCCAGCGGCAGCTGGGAGGTCTGGCCCACACTCCTACAGAGTCACTGCTTTTGCTCTCAGTCCTCTTGTGTGCGCCCTCCATGAGTGGAGTTTCTGTTTTCCCCAGTCCTGAGGAGCTCCTGAAATCAAGCCCCACTGGCCTTCAAGGCCAAACGTTGTGCGGATTCCTCCTTGCAATGCCAGACGCCTCGGCTGGAGAGCCTGGGGTGGGCTCAGAGCTCTCACTCTTTTGGGAGAACTTCTGTGATATAATTATTCTCCTGTTTGTGGGTCACTCACCAAAGGGGTATGGAATTTGATTATAATTATGATCATGAGTGTGCCCCTTCTACCGTCTTCCTGTGGTTTCTTCTTTATATCTTTGAATGTAGAATATCTTTTTTGATAGGTTCCAGTCTTTTTATTGATGGTTGTTCAGCTGTTAGTTGTGATTTTGGTGTGCTTGTGAGAGGAGATGAACTCAAGTTTCTTTACTCTGTCATGTTATCTCCAGTCCTCCTTGTTTTGGGGGAAAAAAAAAACTTTTACCTGAAAACTTGACACATAATAGGCATTTGATAACTGGTGGCTGCTGCTGTTATTCAGATCCTGAAGTGGGGTGAAGAACTGATCCTCAGGATTTTCTAGTCATGTAAGTGGAATGGGCAGCAGGTTTTAGGGGGCTCTGCTAGTCAAATGCAAATTTAATACTTTGAAAAATGGCCACCATATAACTGTGAGTGGGCACAGAGCTTGGAAATGCATTTGTCTTATTTTACTTACGTTTTCTTCCTTCATTATTTCCAGATGCTTGCTGTCCCTTATGCAAAGAAGAAAATGTAGGGAAGCTTAGAGAAATACATAATACTTTATGAGTATTAAAACTTCTGCTCTGAGTATTAAAATGGTGGTATCTTGTAAATGTTTTTAAATCGGTAAAGGAGTAATTACAGTAATTAATACAAGTGAAAAACTTAACTTTTTTCTGGTCTTTTTTCTGGTCCTTTTCATAGGTACTCCGTGGACATAAAACTTTCCTAAATGATGCTTATAATTGGGAGTTTTTGATTTGGGAATCAGCTTTACTACTTTTCTTACTGCGCTTAGCCTCACTGGGGTCTGAAACCAATAAGAAATACAGCAATGTCTCAATATTACTTACTGAACAGGTATTGACTGGCCCTTGATAGTGGTTAGAAATTCAGTGGTTAGAAATGTATAATAAGATTTGTGCAGAAGATTCAGGGGTGAGTCTAGATTCTGTCACGTTCTAGCTATGTAACCTTATACCTTACGAGTCACTCCAACCATATAGTTATCTCCTGTAGAAAATGAGGATAATATCTTCCCCACCTGCTCCCAGGATTGGGTGCTGTGCTTCGTTGCTCAGTTGTGTCTGACTCGTATTTACGACTCCATGGACTGTAGCCTGCCAGGCTCTTCTGTCCATGGGGATTCTCCATGCTACTTCGTAGTATAAAGATTATTTTTGGTGGTGGTAATGGAGCATGCTTTTAATCTCATGTTCTGTGTCAAGTATTAGCTCTTTAGAGTACCTGTCATTTAAGTATGTTTAGTAAGCTTCTTGACTTTTTTCTATCAGTCATAGAATACATTCAGTGTTTGAAAAAGACTCGCTTGTATGTGAGTAGATATGACAATTGAGAAATGTTTCTTTTGAATATAAAGTAGTATAGAGTTGTTTTTTGTTTTTAATTTCATGTTTATCCATAAGTTTTAAATTAAAATATCTGATATCATTAGGTTTTTTTGGGGGGGAGGTGCGGAACTTAGAATTATAGTGAAAAATTCTTACCGTAAGGGAAGAAACAAGGAATTAGTAAATTAAAAGTAGCTATCCTATCTTCTTCCATTCCATGAATGTTTGATAAGGGTGTTAGATTTTTGGGGGGATACCAAGATGAATAAGATATAGTTTTTGAACTCAAGGAGTTTACATCTTGTTAATATAAAATTTTCATTGTTTCGATAAATTGCTTCATCATTATTTTTTCTTCACTAAATAGCCTTTTTGTATCCCCGTATGTGACTGATTAGGATGGTGGTTGGGTATGTGACATATGTGCTCTGTAAATATAGCTACTAGAATTTCAAATTTTATTTTAGTTGAAAATATTGCCTTCCAAATCTGCCATATTGAATGCAATATATATATATACATACACACATATACATATCTTTTACATGACATTTTCCCTAATCTCTATTCCTTCCCTTAGATTAATTTATATCTTAAAATGGAAAAAAAGCCGAATAAGAAAGAACAGCTTACCCTAGTAAACAATGTGTTAAAGCTGTCCACCAAGTTGTTAAAAGTAAGTAATACTCTGTAATACATTTTTATTACCATTTAATTAAATCAATGCTGTACTTCTTGGAGAGGACCTTAGTAACAGATAAATGCTGTGTAGATTCAAAATACAGACTTGATAGTTGGGGTTAATGACTGTATGAGAAAAGTTTCCCAACTTATTACCCAAGTTCTAATGATTGCTGTTGTCTGTCACATTTGAAAATTACATTAAAAAATCACAAATTACATATTGGTTGAATCCACGTTTAAAAACTTAGCTAGTGGAAGACTAGGTGAGAGCCTATTCCAAGTGTTTATTTATTTACATTATTATTTTAAAATTTTTAAATTATTATTTTAAATTGATGTATAGTTGATTTACAGTGTTTCACATGTACAGCAAAGTGATTCAGTTATATATATACATATGTTCTTTTTCTGATTCTTTTCTACTATAGGTTATTGCACGATGTTGAATATAGTTCCCAGTGCTACACAGGGTCCTTGTTGTTTACCCATTTTATATACAGTACTCTGTATCTGTTAATTCCAAATTTATTCCTCCCCCCTCCCCCTCATTACAGATTTTTTGAAGGTAGCTGTTGAACGTCAGGAAAGAGGTCTTAAGCAGTCATCCTCACCCAAGACTCAAAAAACAGTCCTGATAATCACTGATAGCTATTGTGAAACCATGTATTTCATCTCAGTTCTTTCATGTTTTTTAGGAGCTGGACACACCATTTAGACTCTATGGACTGACAATGAATCCCTTAATCTACAATATCACACGAGTAGTTATCCTTTCTGCAGTCTCAGGTGTTATAAGTGATCTTCTAGGATTTAACATAAGAGTAAGTGAGATTACCACTCTGTAGCATCTGCCTTAGTCTTAAAACTTACTAGTATGTATAATAATCTTTAACCTTCCCAGTGTATATGTGTGTGAGAGAGAGAAAGGGAGAGAGAATGGCTGGCATGGAAATAATTCTTCAGGTAGAGAAATAAGTATTTGAAATAGACTTTCAGCTTAGATTTTCTCATTTTACACAAGCACAATAGACTGTGCTCTTGAATGGAACAAAAAGTCAAGTTTGAATCTCATGTCAGTTTAATAGCATGGGCTGGGGTGGCCTCTGAGCTAGGGAAATGTACAGAGTCAGAATGAAGGAAAACTAGAAACCACCATGAGCTGCAGTATATCAGTTCTGATCCTGGAAATTTTTAATGTTTTTTTCTCTATGATGTTTTATGGTTGCTATTGCCAGAGTTGATACTTTTTTCTTATGTAAATGGCTCTTGGTTTACATGTAAGTGTACCTGTCAACCCCACCTATTTGTCTTAAAACTAACTGATTTTGGTGATTTTCTTTTCTTAGCTGTGGAAAATTAAGTCATAAGCTGAGTCATGTGCCTGGACTCTCTCCCCTTGCTGGCATCAGTGCTTACCCCATTAAGGAAAGAGATGACTGCAAACCCATGAGACACCCACCTGCTTGTTCATACGCAGAGGTGCCCTCAGCTCTCCTAATCTAATGAATCGTGTTTTCAGAGGAACAGAGCCTTTTCCAACTGGGCGTGCATGCTAAAAACCTGTATTTTCTTGGTTTCAAATAGTATGAATAGTCAGGAGACTGAAGACTGTTGTGTTATAGTAACTTAAGGACAACTTTTTAAGTTAGGAAATTTATTCTGGGCATTTCAATGCTGCGACAGTTATATTTATTGGAAATAGTCTTTTGGGTAACTATGGTAGATGCCCAAAGCATGAAGCAAAATCCTTTATTGGAAATATGCAAATTCAGTACTTTTCTATTACAGTCTATAGAATTGGATATTTCATTTCTCTGGCAAAGAGAGATCAAGTTTAAACTTAAACTATTTTAGGTTGAACCTGAATAAAAGAACTTTATTGGAGAATTTCAGTTTCTAGGCTTTTTTGTTGTTGAAAGAAAAAATAACCTTTAAACTGTAATTTTCTGTGAAACTATGGAGAAATTTTCAATTAGTTTATAATTTTGAAGTTAATCCTAATAACTGTATAGTTCTTGGTGAAACAGAGTCATGCATATAGTATAGCATGTAATTCAGCATAAGACATTTTTCTGTTCACACCTGTCTGTGTTCACCGTACAATATGTCTTCCATTTTGAATGATCTGAGCTATGTTTCCAATCACAGTACTAAGTGTTCAGTTTGTTGTGCAACTAAATGAATGTATTTAACCGTCAGTACAGTCTCAGGTCTTCAGTGTCTGTACTGAGCCAAGCTGTGCCATTGATGATTTGGGTTCTCTTATCAGCATCCCCTGTCACACTTACATACATACACATATGTTAATGAAAACTAATAATCTCCATGTAATTCCTGCTCATTAAGTTACGCACTTTGAAGAATCTCTTGAGGCAAATAGAAAGCCCACAGATCTTAATGATAAGATTTTGTGAGTATTTCAATGGGAATAATTAAGAAACTTTATTATTACATGTGAAGTATGTACATGCAAAGTCAGTGTATCATATATACATATCCTCATATGGCAGGAAGATTTTTGAGGTTTAAAGATGAATTTCTCGAGTCCAGGGATTGAGTTCAGACCTTTCTGGATTTATATCCTTGGCTCTGCTACTCATTAACTTCATAGTCCAAGGCAAGTTACTTAACATTTTTGCACCTCAATTTCCTTACCTGTGTAATGGGGATAATAACTACCTAAAAGGGTTGTTAAGGTCAAATGAGGTTATCATGTAAGGTACTTAGCATAAAATACTTAGCACTTGGTAAATCCACAATAAACATTTGTAATACTATTTAAAACCCTTTAAAAATATTGTGCTGACAGATTTCCTAACTGTGAAGATAGAAACATAGAGGGCAAGATAACTGAACTAGAAGTGGATTACCAAAAGTTTGCAGCCATTCTAAATACTGCGTGAGAGTTACAGTTTTTTTTTTAAGTAAAGCCCGTTTATAGTGATTTACCTTTGGAAGGAACTAATCTGTAAAGGCACTTCAGTGTCTTGACAGGTGACTCATAGAAGTCATAAGGAACAAGAACAATTATCTCGAAGCCAGGATTGAGTGGGCTCTGTGCAGATTTCAGGTGAAGAAAGTGGATGACTTTATCTTTTTTCTCCTACAAAAACACTTCTAATTTTATTTGAATTTTTTACACATTGAATTCTTTAGCTTAAATGCAGTATTTAGAATTGTTTACTCCTGTGAGTTGTTTCAGTTATGGTTTTGATGGTTTATAATTGGTTTAAGTGATTTTTCAGGTGGGTAAATTTTTTTGTATGTGTACTTGCTCATGTCAGAAACTTGAAAATCATTTTTTTATCTGCACTGGGTCTTCACTGTTGCACGCAGGCTCTTCATTGCCCTGCTCCAGCTTCCTCTAGTTTGCAGTGTGTGGTTTTCTCTGGTTGCAGCTGGCAGGCTGTCTAGTTCTGGCATGCGGTCTCTAGAGCACATGGGCTCAGTAGTTCCAGTCCAAGGGCTTAGTTGCCCCATGGCATTTGGGATCTTAGTTCCCTGACCAGGGATCAAAACCACATCCCGTACATTGGAAGGTGGAGTCTTAACCACTGGACCACCAGGGAAGTCCTGGGAACCATTTTTGACTCTTGCCTCTCTCATACCTCACATCCAATCACCAAGTCTTTGAATAATTATCTTTTAGATGTTTTTCTAATCAGTCCATTCTTTTCCATCCCTGTTTTTACCACCCTCATCTAAGTTAATAGCTTCTGTTTTTGAACAGGATTCTGCTTTTCTGCTCTTAAATATACATGGCATTCCTCCTTCCCATACCCACCTATTCATCTCAAAAACTAATGTGTGTTTTTTGAAATGCAAGTCTCATCATTTAGAATCTACTAATGGCTTAGTATTTCTTTGAAGGTAAAAATCTGAAATCTTTTTAGCAAGGTATATAGGCCTTCCTTGTTGAGAAATATTTTTGAATCTTTGAAAGATTTTTGCTGGGCATAAAATTCCACTTTTAGAAATGCTGTTCCTCTACTGCCTCCTGAGTTGCATTGCTTCTGACAAGAAGTCTGCTGTCATTCTCGTCTTTGTTCTTCTGTGTATAACGTCTCTCTCTTTTTTAAACTCTGGCTACTTTTAAGGTTTTTATCTTTTTCATTGAATTTGTGCTGTTATAATGTGTATTGCTGTAGTTTGTGTGTGTGTGTGCGCGCGCGCTTGGGATTTGTTGCATTTATTGGGTCTCTTGATTTATAGTTTTCATAAAATTTGGGAAAATTTTAGTTGTTTTTTTTTTTTAAATTATTTTTTAATTGGTGGAAAATTGCTTTACAATATTGTGTTGGTTTCTGCTATATAACAACATGAATCAGTCATATATGTATATCCCTTCCCTCCTGAGACTCCCTTCCCTCCCCCCACCCCTCCAGGTTATCACAGAACACCAGGCTGGGTTGCTGTGTTATTAAAATGTTTCTGCACCCCATTCTCCCACCTGCTTCTGAGATTCCACCTCACAGATGTATCAGGCTGCTTGAAGTTGTTTTACAGCTTACTGATACATTGTCCCAGTCTTCTGTCTTCAATTTTGGATAGTTTCTGTTGCTGTGCCTTCAACTTCAATAATCTGTTCTAATTTTGCTGTTAATCCTACATGGTGTATTTTGTCTACAGAAGTTTGATACTGCTTTTTTGTTTTTTACATCTTTTATGTCTGTCTTTAACATGCTCTTTCTTATCTCTACCTTGTTTTCATAACATTTATAATAGAAATAGTAAATAAGAACATTAAAACAGCTATCATCTATGTCATTCTGTGTTTTTTTTTTTAATTGATTTATTTTTCTTCTCATTTTGGGTCATTTTTCCTGCTTCTTCACATGCTTAGTAATTTCTTATTGGATGTGAATTTTACACTTTTGGGTGTTGGGGTTTTGTGTGTGTGCCTTGTTTATTCTTGAGCTTTGTTTTAGAATGTAGTTAAATTACTCGAAAATAGTTTGATCATTTTAAGGCTTGCTTTTAAGCTTTTGTTAGGAGGGCCAGGGCAGCCTTAAACCCGGTGCTATTTTTTTCCACAACTGATGCAATATCTTTCTGAGCACTCTACATGATGCCCTCTTCATGATGGGGTTTTCTCAGTTTGACTGTAGGAACATGCACTATCCCCAGCTCAGAATTTTTGGCCTGATTCTTTCGGGTGGTCCTTTGCTTGTTGAGTATTTCCTTGTGCTGATGCATACTCACCTGGAGACCTGAACTCTCAGCATATTTTTTTTTGAGCTCTCTCCTCTCTATGCAGCTGTCTTCTCTCTGGTACTCTGCCTGCTAATTCTAGCTGTTCTGACCCCCCCAAATTCTTAACTCTTACCTCCTTAACTCAGCAAGACTGCTTGATTGGGTTTGGGTTCCCTTTTCTGCACTGAAGCCTGGGCACTGCCTTTAAGTAATCTGGGGTAGTCATGGGGCTCACCTCATTTAATTCCACTAACCTCTTACTATCTCTTGTCCATTACCTAACACCCATTTTTTCACATATATTTTTCCTTTTTTTTTCCAAGTTGTCTAAGGTGAGAGAGTCAATGGTTTCCCCACCTTAGTAAATGGAACAAAGTTTACTCAGTTGCTCAAGCCAAAGACTTAGGGTTTATTCTTGGTTCCTCTCTTTCCCTTCATATCGAATCTACCACCCAGTCACGTTGATTCTGATTTTCATTGCTAATAGACTAAGCCTTCTTCGTGGTCACCTGGTTTACTGTGCTGACCCACTGTTCCCTTCCCATTCTTGCCTCCTACAGTTGGTTCTCTAGAGCCATGTGAATGAGCTTGAAAACATGGAGACTGTATCAGCCCTACTGAAACTCTTCCTGGCTTTCCTATGCTGGCCTTCAAGGCCCTTCATTTCAGGCCTGCCTCCCTTTCCAGCTTCACCTTCTCAGTATCTGACAATCACACTCCCTATGTTCCTTCATTACACTGAGTTCTTTCTTGTTTCAGACTGTGCCTGGAATATGCTTTCTTAAGTTCTCCCCTAAATGGCTGCTCAGCTGTCAGTTCCTCAGCAGGACCTTATCTTAGTTAAAGTGGTTCCCCATCTTACCCTTGTTATCAGTTACACAGCTCTGTTCATCCTTCATGGCATTTATCAAAATCTGATTATTTTGTTTATCTTTTGTCACTTGTTTCTGTCCTTCCCCATTCAGTTCTGAGTTCCTTAAGGCAGGGATTTTTTTGTTGTTGTTTTTCACTCCTAGGTCCCCAGAATGCAGGAGAGTACCTGACCCTATAATAGGTATGTAATACAAATGTGTAGAATGAATAGACTTCAAGTAATTTACCATTTATGCAGTTTTTGTTTTGTTTTTTCTGTTAGGGTGGAAGAGTTGTACTCTTTGTGCTTCATTTATTCCTGTATGGTAATTTCTAGAAACTTGGACTTTTGATCCACAAAAGGAGTGATACTTTAACATTTACCTGTTACTGAGAAATTAAACCGAGATGTAAAAACAGAACTAGATTATGCCATTCATACATTTAATTGAAATAGTAATAACCATAGATGGGTAAGAAAAAATAACCTGTTCAGTTACTTTTATAATGTGTTGTTTTGGGAAAGAGTCTCTCCTAAAATTGCCATGGAGGTATAACTTCAAACTTCCTAAATATGTACATTATGCCTCATGTATAATATAACCACTTTGAAAAGTTGAATAACCAAATACTTTCTTAATTGGGGTATGGTTTTCTTGACTTTCAGAGACAAGTAGGAAGGTTTTTTAAATACCAGAATGTCCTGAAAAGTAAAGGTTATGGGTGGGTCTGTGTTTTTATTTTTGGTTCATTGTATCTAGAGGTAGGGCTTCCCAGGTGGTGCTACTGGTAAAGAACCCCCCCTGCCAATGCAGGAGACCTAAGAGATGTTGGTTTGATCCCTGGCTCAGGAAAATCCCCTGGAGGAGGGCATGGAAACCCACTCATGGACAGAGAAGCTTGGTAGACAACAGTCCATAGGCTCACAAAAGGTTGGTCACGGCTAAAATGACTAAGCACACATCTAGAGGTAAGTGAACCTGTGCACTCTACAAACAACTCTCTTTCAAATTAATAAAATTCATTTTAGAAATTTTTTAGATCTACACACTCTATAATGGGGCAAATGGGTCTAAATCTCCAAATATAGTGTATGACTTGGGATTATCAGGAAGTAAATTCATTATCAAGAAGTAAACTCCAGGAGATGGTGAGGGGTAGGGAGGCTTGGCGTGCTGCAGTCCATGGGGTCACAGAGTCAGACACGACTGAACAACTGAACAAATAACAAAAATATTCATTAAACTTAATCTCGTCTATACAGGTATTGACTAGTTTGGTCATTTAATCCTTTGCTTCTTGCAGTTATTGGTGTGCATCTTGAATAATGAAGTTTGAATGTCACAAATGTGCAATAATTCCATACCTTTCCTGCAGTACATCCTGAGCCTATATGCTGTAATAAGGTATTACTCAAGGTAACAATGATTGTTTTATATTAAGGACAACATAAGCTCTTGACTTGTGTTTTCACTAATAGTTTGCTTGGCTTTAACACAAACATTGTATAATAGACAAATACCAACAAAATTCTTTGAAAAACTATAGGTTCAGGCTAAATTAAAGCACTTGGCTATGTTTTTGTGTTTTAATGTATATTTGAGAAAGGTTCAGAGTTCTTTAGCAGATAAATTCTACTCTTCATAAGCCTTCATACTTCTCTCTTATGCTTAAGGTTCTACTTGCACAGAAACAGTGAAAACATATCCAAGTTAGTGAAAATCTTAAAACTAATTCAGTTAACTGAAGCAAAGATTATAGAATTGATGTCATAATTATGGTCATAATGATAACCAATTTAAACCAGTCATTGTACTGCTGATAAACCTTAATAGCACGAAAAATAAGGAGCTGCCTAAATAAGTAAATCTGTTATTGTTTAAAAGTACAAGCAGTTCTCAGCAATGGAGCATGCCAGGATGATGTAAGAAGTTGCTCTGATGAATTCTTCATGCCAAACTGAATCATCACATTTTGTGACTGAAGTCTGTTTACAGCAGTGTTCCTTAGTTCTCGGAGCTCACTCTAGACCAGACTTCAGCCTAAGCACATCTCTGTGGAGGTCGGTAGTTAAGACTGTCACACAGTTTAATTTGGGTATTCCTTGCTTTCTTAAAACCCCATTCTCTTTCAATGTTGGACACAGTAATCATGAAACTCTTCATTAGTCCATGTTGAAAAGCATTTGACTTTTTCTACATGAAAACATCTATTAAAAAAGAAAATGATCAAGATGTGCTCACGTAGAAATAAAAAATTACATGCTTTTCTATTTCAGATGTCTTGGACATAGGAGTTGACTCTGTGCAGAGGCTACTTGGTCCAAAAAATTTGATGTGAGTTAGAAGACAACAGTATTACAGGCTGTTTCTGATTTCCCTAGGAAGACAATGTGATAGCATCCCAGAACAGTTTTGCTGTTGTGGTCAGTCCACTAAAACAACAAAATGATTTTGCTGCCACTCTGTGGGCTTTGCTAAGACACACATCTTCATGACGGAGCTTGGAAGCCAGAGGTTTAGGGTTTATTTTCAATATGAGTTCATGTAATGGTAGGTTCAGGAATTAATTTTTCTCCTCAAGAGTATTCATTTAACCATGGTCTTGAACTAGGTTTTAGGCATTATTCATATCAAGAATTTCAGTGAAGTCAAGTCAAAACACTTCACTCTATAAGTAGGTACAACCTGTAGTAAACAAAATGATTTAAAAATAATGTGAAATGCCACATAGCCTGATGAAATAGCATTTGTGATCTTGTGGTAACTGGATTTACATTGCTATATGCATTAGAAATGTCTAATAATTTCCAATAACATAAGTACTTTTTTCTCCCTGACAGTGTAAGAAAGGATTGGGGGCAGGGTAACAAATTATTTATACAAAACTATTTTCCTTACAATGAAAGGTATGAAGTAGGTATAATGATATTCAACTCAAACTAATTTTAAACTTTAAATGTATTTATAGATAAAAGTATAGCTATACAGGTAAAGTCATCATTGTAAGAGTCTGCCTGATTGTAGGACTTTGAATGTTTGTTACTCACAGGGATAAAAATCTGAGGACTCAGACCATGATGAGAATTAGCTCCACAAGCAGAAAAACAGTAAAAAGAAATACAAGTCATGAACTGATTTTTGTTTTTTTTTAATATCTATATAAAAAATAACGAGCGATTTACAGATCTCTTTCTCTAATCAGAACCTCAAGTGTATATATAAAGGTACTGTACAATATATAAACATTTACAACCAGTACATCCATATTTTGCTTAGCATTCCAAGGCCACATTGCTAAGTCAGTACAGAATCAGTACAGTGACCGGTTACTTAGAGAGGAAAGAGCCACATCAGACTGACAACAGATGACATCAAAGTTATGTCACAGTTAACAATAAAAATAGGATTTTTATCACTAATTGTGGACTATAGGGAAAATAAATCATTTCTGTGGTACTAAATTCTTAGCATTTATCAAGCCTTCTAATTTGTCTCTATTCAAGTAGTTACAGTAGGTGGGTAAATACAGTTCTGGATGAAAAGGGGGTTTCAAAAAATCTCACTCTGGGAAGAATGTCTTATCTACAGGGGCTTCAGTTGTTATATTAAAGAATTTCACAGTCAGATTCTGAGAGGGAAGGACCTGAACATGATGTGTTTCACAATAACAAGATGAACCCAGGGTGACAGAACAACAGTGTTCAAATACTCCAGAAAATGGTTTTATTCTGAGAATGTTCCTTTATTTATAGATGCTACCGATTGCTAGTTCTGGGGGCTGAAAAACCCGGATCTGTTTTATGGAGCTAAAAACTGTTAACCACCTTCCAATAAACATCTTTAGTTAGGCCTTAAAAAAGAATTCCGAAAATTTGTACAAGCCAAGCAGATGTTTACTCTCCTGTTTTTAAATAAGTTAATATAGCTAGAAATTAAATAAGACCTCGCAATGTCTACCACCACGTTTGTCCTCAGTTGCTGAGCGAGTCTCAGGTAAGTTCTGCTTCCACACACCTGAACTCATATAGCTGCTGCCAGATGGTCCTTCATCTGGCAACAGACTGTGAAACTGGTTTTGTGATTTAAGTCTCTCTTCAAATATATATTATGTATTAATGACTAAATGACTTAGCACTGATAATTCAATCAAAATATCCAGAAACACAAATTTGGATTTCAGAAATTTCAAATAGCAGTAAGTGATATTTCCACATGTCTCTTGGTGGTTTCATAATAAAGTAACAAATAAAAGGGTGATCTGAGATGCTGTATCAATTAGGGTTGGATAACACAGCAGGGGGTGAACTCAGTTATTTGAAATGCCTTATCCAGCCGAATTACAATAAACAAAATCATAAGGAAGTCAGTGTTTGACTACATTTTCTTTTTTCTTTCCAGTAGTGATATTTTGGAGTTTTATTTTTAAACGGGGACATTATCAGTAGCTGTTAGGAAAGGTAACTGCCATCTTTAATGATGAATTAACAATCTCTTCTGCAAGGGCTCAAATATTTCTGTCTATAAACATGCAACATGCTATTGAGAGTATCAACTTCCGAGCCAAACCTACTTTTTTCATTACTGTGGAAATAGCTGAGTGAGAAGGATAAAATAGACATGATACAGTAGGTAACTCGGCACAAATATGAAACGAGTTGTAACCACGTTACGAATGTGAACATGTCACTTGTTCAGACACTCACGAGGACGAGCGGGTGTGTCCGACGAGCACTGGGATTCAGCTCCCTCCTGAGCGCAGAGGCGGGCAGTGGGCTCTTAGCAATCCTACAGGCCTTCATGCAGCTAGGTAACCTGACGCTCAAATTGCAGTGTCCTTACATGTGTTTCAGAATTTCTGGAAAAAAAGACTTGGGTGGGGGCGGGGGGAAATGCCGCTGCTGTGTAAGAAAAGACGACACCTTGTCTGTCTGTCTCACGCTGGAGGTCACAGCCGCTTCTCGGCCGCACCGGCGGCGCCCGTGGCTCTGCTTGCACTTGGCACCTTCCAGGGCCCTGGCGCGATCGGTGTTTTCTTAGCGGGAGAGCCACTTTCAGGTTTGAGCCCTCCGCTCGCTCTGTTTCTGTCAGCCGCCTCAAGCTCTTTTCTCTTGTGATCTTCCGTTTTGCTTAAAACCATTCTTTCATCAGGTTCCTGCTTTAGCTTCTTCTCTGATATTCTGACGTTTTCTCCTGTTTTATCTTTACTAGAACTCATCTGTCCGGAGGTTGCTTTTTTGCCTTTTTCATTTTCTGGTATTGCCCTACTAGTAATACTGTTAGTCTTTTTGGATGGAAGAGACCTTTCATCCACTCGCTTGCTTTTTTTCTCTGGAGACCTGGTTCTGTTTTTTCCAGGCTGACTCTGATTTGTATCTCTCCCCAAAACACCTGATCTTTCTTTGGCATCTGAGATGTGCTCAGCGTTGTTGCTAGCATGGCCCCCGGCTCTGCGACTCGCATTAGACTGGTCTTTGCTGCCTTCGGTTTTTGGCTGCTTCTTCGGGCTGGAAGACCGTCCCCTGCTTCTTCCACAGTGATCCTGTCCAGAAGCTGTCCCGGTGCCGAGCTGACTGCTTTTATTCTCGCCTTTCCTGGGGCTGAGTGAGCGATCTCTGGGTCTTCTTTTGGGGTCATTTTTTAGAGGACTGGGAATCTTTTCTGCATGTTCTTCCGGATATTGACTGGCTGACTTCTTGGGACTAGCAGACCTGCCTCTTGGTGTGATGCCATTTTCTGCTTTCAAGAGATTTTTCTTATCACCATGCCCATGACTGTTGGGTGGATCTCTTTTATTCACATTTTTATGGAGAAGAGACTTATGTTTTATATCAGACTGATTTTCATTTAAAGTGCTTTTCTTTTCAGGCACAGTGTCCTTTAATTCTTCTGCCTTTTCACATATCGGAACTCTCATCAGTGATTCTTCAGATACTGGCACATGAGACTCTTCAAATATGGAAGCAGAGTGTGAAGATGGGTGACATGGTGACTGTTCATCATAAATCACATTGGAAGATGTAGGGTTATTAATATCCCAATCACCTAAAAAAAGTGATTTTGAGTAGAACATTATTAAATTTTAGAATTATAAATAGGAACAATTAAGTTTTGAACTTTGATAGCCATTTGAATTTTACTGACTGCTTAAACAGACTATTTTATAAAGTTCATGTATATTTATCTCTCTGTAAAGGCAGATGTATACAGACAACTGTACTTGTACATGGGTGAAAGGTAGGTTGTTTCATATATATATATAAAGTAATAGCATTCATTTTTCTAATTACTTTTCATAAGTGTGATAATATATGATGTGTAAATTCTTTATAAGTAGTAAAAGCCCAATAAAAAGCTTAAAAGAAATAACTAATAAAATTGGACCAAATTATCTGGTCCAAGCAGCTTACTAATTTAGCTGCTATTGATGGATATAGCTTAAAGATTTGCCAAAATCCACTAATAAAGGAAACCAAACTATGGTAGCCAAAATGGAGTTCATGGGCATTTGTAAATAATTCTGTTGCATTAAGCTGTTAAATTTAATGTCAAAAGGAAACTGAAAAGTGCAGAAGATAGAAGTAGATGTATTTAATAGCATCATTTTTAACTAAAAAGAAAAAAAAAAAGAAGGAAGTGATTTACAAGACATGCAAATTTACCAAATCTTTTTAAGGAAAGACCAAGAAAAGCCCTGAAAGCCTTAATGTTGCTCAGGTTTCACGTAGGAGCACAGACCGGAAGGAGCCAAACCTGAAGAAGGAAGAGAAAAAGCCTAGGACTGTGTAAAAAAATACATCACAGTGCAGCTAGCAAAGATGTCACGGGGGATGTATGATTTACAAGCAGATGATGGAAGGTAATACAGTCAGAGAATTATAGACTGGAAGGGGACTGCAGGAGATCATGTCTACACTTAACCCACACAGGCTCTACGGGGGAAGGAAGGAAGCTGGAAGGGCTAAGGACTAAGTGGTGTGGTACTGTCAACTAGTGCACTCAGCTGAACAACGGTGATTTTCAAATACTGTGATACTTCAGAAACATACAGTGAATCCAAGGAAGTTTAATATCAGTACAGGACTACAGAAATGGCCCCAGGTCCAAATCTTTGTCTCCAGGTAGCGCTATAGGTAACTTGTTTTTGACAAATGACCAGAAAAGCCTTAAGGTTCTTACACTGTTCCTTAAGAAAGAAACTCATCTTACTATAAGGAAAAAAGTAACATTTGAAGAGATTTCAAATGTTTTTCATGACATTAAAATCCTTTGCCTCTCATGTTCTTATTTTCTCCAGGCACATTTCTCTGCAAAAGCAACTATGTTTTCTGTTGAACGTAGCTTAACATATATACTGTTGTAATAAAAGTCCTGTATGAGGTCACTTATTTTGTAATATTATAATTTATAGTTACTATGCTATGTAACTAACTTTAGATGGTTCTTGTGGTTACCTCTGAATTAGCTATTAATAGTAAAATATCTGTCCCTTCCAAATAGATGTTTTTTCCCTTCTGCTGCTCCCTCCCTGACACCCTCTCGGATACGGGCGAGCTGCTTTACTTACCATGGTCAGGTATCAAGCCAGTTCCTGGCCTCAACAGAAGAAGAACTTTATTTCCACCAGCCTGAATAAGCTCAATTGCTCTAGTGTGTGTGATGCCTTGTGTGGGTTCCCCATTGATTTCAACAATCTGGTCACCAACCTAGGCAGGAAATATTCACAGAAACAACAAATGAAATGATACATCCTCCGTCACTCCTGTTCTGTCATCCCTAGAGCCACCCACCTCTGCTGAAGAGCTCTCGTTTGTACTTAACTTGTGCGTGGTGCTGTAATGCTAGAGTTGAGGAGTTGGACAGGTGGTAGCAACAGGAAGAGACAATGTCTGGTTTTATTTACACGATGAAAGTTTATACGACTAGTAAGCAGGATCTGGGCATCTTGAAATCAAGAATCAAATTCCAAGTTTTCAACCAAAGCCTAAGTGGTGGAGAGGTGACGACTCTATGGCCCACATGGCCCACAGAGCTACCTCTGATTAGTCTGCCTGCGAAGGGTGCTTCCCAACTGTAGCTGAATATCCTGAAACCTAGGAAGGTGGCTTCTCATCTTGGAAGCCTCTCCCGGCTTCCAGGGAGAACTGCCCACCCCTTCCTTTGTGTTGCCACTACGCCCTACACATATGAGGCATTACATAAGTGACACGTTTCTAGATTAGAACTAAGAAAATTCAGCTTGGAGAAATTCATCCTAATATGAACACTTATTTAAAACCAATTGCTGGCTTACACTAAATGACTTTCTTGTACAGTGATTTCCCTAGAAAACAAAAGCTCAGATCAGCATAAAATGCCTCCAGTACCATTGCTATTTCCTAGAAATGTCTGTAGTTATTCAAAAAGGAAAAGTACAAATGACTGAAGTATAACTTTTTCAAAGGGCTCACTTAAAGACAATGATGGTAATTATTTTAAAATATAGTCGATTTTAGGAGAAGGAAATGGCAACCCACTCCAGTATGCTTGCCTGGAGAATCCCATGGACGGAGGAGCCTGGTGGGCTACAGTCCACGGGGTCGCAGAGAGTCGGATATGACTGAGCGACTTCACTTTCACTTTCAACCCTCAGCTGAGAAGACTTTCAGCTCTTGTGTTTGTTATTGATTGTTTTCTTGAGTTCTCAAAGACCTGTGACCATATTTTTTTTAAGTTGCCTGTTTTCTAATTGCATCACTTTACACACTGTTGTCTAATAATATGTGGTATTTAGAATACCTCCTTAATTATTTTGAGCAGCCATTGCCTGTATTTTCTTAGCACCTCCTTGGTTTTCTTAGGTGAACTCATCTGACAGGGAAATGCAGCTTTTTTGTTTGCCCTCTCTGCTTACTGGACCGTCTGAGTCAGTGTTCTAACTAATCCCTGATGGTCTCTGAGCTGCTGTTCTACCAGACTCAGTAGTTATGTGCATCAGGAATTTTTCGGTAGAATTGGTCCTATTAGGAGACTCTTGGTGTCACCTTTGTTATCTTAAAAGCTGGTCCCTTCGCTGAGGCTCTTAATTTTTTGAAAACTTGATGCTATTTCAGCTGAAAATTGACAAGGCTATTTAAAAAATTGATGGAAGCCATTTAAGAAATTGAAAAGTAATCGCAAACAACATTGGGTAGTTGTGACTTTCAGTTCTGTATCAGTTGAATTTTTGTGCTCTTTTCCCTGTGTACGTGGTGGTTCTATTTTTCTCCAATAAAACTTTTTATTTAAAAAAATAAAATAAAATATAGTCGATTTTAAACTGTGTTATTTCAAGGTGACGAGCAACTGAAGGTTACTGGTCTCAAAACAAAATCTGAACAATGGACAATTACTGAAATTCCAAAAAGCAATTCAAATATTTGCAAGAGCTAACTAAAACAATGCAGAAATAACCAAGAGGAGGCAGTGATTAAATAACAAAGGTGGGTAGGACAGCTCTATATCCACAGCTGGGGCAGAGCACAGTGACTTAGAAGCTGGGTTTTGGAGGCATTATAACGTCTATGGTTCACTCGTGGCTCCACCTCGTCCTAGCAGAGTGGTCTCATTTTCCTCTCTGTTAGGTGGGGATAACATTTGTACCTACCTACCTCCTGGGGTTTTGGGAAGGATTTAGTGAGATAAAAACATGGTTATACAACAAACACAAATGTTAATTTTCAAGTGATTTGTTTTTTGGTTTTCAAAACAATTTATATTAGGATGAAGAAGATTTTAACTGTAGATGGCAGCCCATTCTATACAATTCAACAATTTTTCAAATAAGACTATAGAATAGTTTTATTGCAATTTATAAAAAAAAAGATAAATGGAAGATCTCACAAGACAGATGGATTTAACATACAAAGTAGAAAAAAAAATCCAAATAAAAAGCTAGCCAAAGAAAGATGATAATATGCATAATAGGATGAAGAAAAGTAATAAACATAATTCATAAAATTCTTATATCCAGAATAGGTACATAAGTGAAAAAGTCAGTACCCAGATTTCCTTTAATAAGTGATTAGAGAAAAATCATTTTCATGAGGAAACACAGATGATGAATTAGCCCCAGATAATTAGGGAAATAATTCCTCTGATAATTAGGGAAATGAAAATTAAAAGTAGATACTATTTGGAGCATGCTTTGGGTACATCTTGTGAAAACATGATTGAGGTTACAATTAATTTCAATTATATTCTTTGGCTTAAGTTCTCTGTGCAAACCTGCGTATTCCTTATTTCAGCAGAAGTAAACTGCTGTAAAACTTGTAATTGAACCGCTTTGCCACCAGATGTCATCTGTGTTTAAGTTCGGGTAAAGGAGAGGAGGCCTCACAAGGGGGAAAGTTCTAAACTGGACTATACAAAGCTAAAGAGAGAAAAATCACATCTTTGAGAGGGAAATGTAACTATTCTTATAAGTTTGTTACTTAAAAATTTTTTAATGTGATAAGAATATAAAAATGAGGAATACACCTGTTGATAAAAAAAAATTCAAGGTCAGGTTTTTGTTATTATTGAAAAATAGAATTGTGGGGGATACAGGAGAGAGAGAAGAGAGAAATGAAGAGAGGAAAAAATTAGGAAGGCTAGGGAAAAAAAGTGTTCTTTAAAAAGCCACTTAAGGCAGTCTTGCAATTTTTAAAACATCCACTAAAATGTATTAAAATGACAAAATATTTTTAACACATTGCTTACATTATCTTGCATTATTCCCTAATATGAACTTTTTTCATTCGGTTATTTCTCATTCCCTTAGCCCAGAACCTTTTTTATTCTCTCTAAATCTTAATAAGGTTTAAGGACCAGCTGAAGACTCACAAAATTTACAGATCCTCTCAACATCTTTCCATCTGTATCAGTAGTTAACATTTTCTTGTTTCAGGGAATTACACTATTAAACTTTATGAAGGAACAAGCAAACAGTGTAAGTCCTGTCTACCCAGTGATAAGTTCTGGGAGTTAAATATAAAAGAAATTCTCTCATTATCTAGAAATATAAACTCTGCATTCTATTCTTTCAACAAATATGTCTGGCGCATCTACCATCAATGTTCAAGGCACTGCCTCAGGTGCTGAAGATACTGGAATAATAGGTACAGGATACAAAGCACAGAGTCAGCCTAACAGAAAAGATGCAGGGGAAAAGGAGGGTGGCCAGAGGGGAAGGCAGGCAGGATGCCCGGTGGCTCCACGCGCCAGTGTCAGCTGGAGGTAAACGTGCATCCTTTGGGGAAGTGGTCACTGGAGTAAGTTGTCCTTTACAACAAGGCTCCCGTGATCCTTACACCAAGTCAAGATTTTGATAATTTAGTGGCCAGAAAAATAGTTCTCTGCAAAGCTGACTTATTAGAGTTCAGAATAAACCCAGGCATAGCAGTAATAGCTTGTTTTCTTTTGTTTTCAAATTTCAGAGCTTTATATATTAAAGCTGATTTAATCGCAGAATTCTAAAGCTTCTGTTCATTATAAAGAATAAATGTTTAAAAAAAAAAAGAATAACATGTCTTAGAAGTAGACTTTGAATCCTTGAAGGCCTCCTTGCTTGCCTTTTATTTAGTGAGATTGGTGTATCTGAGGGTCATATTTGAAACCAGTATTTCAATTATATCCTAGTTGGCGTAATTGGATTGTGATATACAATGGAAGGTTTTTTTTTAAAACTCCAGATTTAAACAACTAAATGCTTATTTTTAAAAAGGCAGGGAGTTGAGAAAAAGGATGAAGAAAACCAGAAATAAACATGCCATCCCCATAAACAGTGCCTCAAACTGCTGTTACTAAAACTTTAAAGAAGTTTGCTTGGGCCGTGTATTTCACATGTAGATCTACATTTTGCAGGTTAGGAAACTGAGGTTCAGAGATGTTATCCAACTATGCACAGCTGTAAAATGGCAGAACTAGAGTTTGATCCTTGTCCTGTCTGATTCCCAAACCCATGTTCTCCCCACTTTATTAAACTATCTCTATAAGAAAGTGAGATACTAGGGCTTCCTTAGTAGCTAAGATGGTAAAGCATCCACTTGCAATGCAGGAGACCCAGGTTTGATTCCCGGGTCAGAAAGATCCCCTGAAGAAGGAAATGGCAACCCACTCCAGAATTCTCGCCTGGAGAATTCCATGGACAGAAGGGCCTGGTGGGCTATTAGTCCACAGAGTTACAAAGAGTCAGACATGACTGAGTGGCTAACACACAGAAGAAAGTGAACCGCAGCTCAGCCGCTCAGCTTTGGCCATACTAAGACTCTGGCCATCAGCCCTCTCGTTGCCATCAACACCCTCCAGCTCTGCTTCTGCTGCTCTGCATTCTCACTCTCCTCGTCTTTTCTACCTTCTGCAGTTCACTAATGACAGGCCTTATACAGAGTCCTGCCCCAGCCCACAACTCTCCAAATCCTCTCCTTTAGTGAACTCACCCATGGAAAAGGCGTCAGTCATCACTTCTGTCTGGGAAATGACAACCTGGGACTTTACCTCTTGTCCTAATTGCCAGGTAAATATTTACACCTGCTTAACCGGCTGGTCCTTTAACATGACTGCAGCTTAGTACATTATCAGTCTTCACCAAACCCTTTCTCCCACTGGCCTCGCTGATGGTTTTCTTACAGTACAGATAGGGTTGAAGCCTCTAAGCCATCCTTTACTCTTTCTTTTCCTTCATCCACTCATGTAATACTTGTCAGTCACCTAAACTGGTCTTTTCTTCATTAACAGTTGATCCCACAAGCATCATTTAACTTTCATCCAAAGTATTGGGTCAGCCAGAAAGTTTGCTTGGGTTTTTCTGTGAGATGTTACGGAAAAACCAGAACATTCTGGCCAACGCAGTATTACCATCCAAGCTACACTCCCACCACCACGACTGGACGCCTAAACTTAGCTAAGCTATCCCCTCATCCTTCCGACAGTCCCAGAGACTGATTTTATCAGTGTATTTCTCTGAAAGGAACTCCTGTGTTAAAAACCTTCTGTGACTTTCCAGTGTCTTAGACCTACATGTTGGTGACTAATTCTACTTTCATATTCTCATTTTCTTCTACTCCCCTGTGTATTTTTAAATAGACTAGGTAAACTTGACCACTTGTAGTCCCCTGTATGTGACGTGTACTTCCTTCCTTTTGCTAATTTCTTCAGCCTGGAATGTTTTCTTATTCTCTCCCTATTAAAATTCTCTCAAACTGTCCGATGCCACCTATTCTATGAAATTTTCTCTACTCATACTCACCTTTCTTTGAATTTATAAAAGTCTAGTCCTTTAGAGAAAGGATGGTATCTTGTTTGGGGGATTATTCTTTCTCCTAACTCACTGAGTAGCATATGTAAATTCTTGGGTAAAGCAAACACTTAATACATGTTTCTAAAATGAGTCCTGGGAGTGGAGCAGCGATATGGATAACTGAACACTACAACCACCCAGAAGACTTTTCTGATTGTTATTAGAATATATCATCTAATAATCTGCCAGGGAGGGTCATTTGCCTTTCTAACTAGCTTACTTAGTTTAAAAAAAAAAGGAGACGGAAAAGAAAAATTCCTCTTTTCCTGAGGCCTACCGGTAGAAGGAGGAGGAAGTCCAAAGCTCTCTTGAAGTCACAGAAGGCTTTTAACACAAGAGTTCCCCTCAAGAGTAATACACTGATAAAATCAGTCTCTGGGTGTGTAAGGATGGATGAGGTGATAGGTAGGGGGAAAGTTGTCCAGATTTTAAAATTTTTACTTATAACCTATCTGAATACCAATGAATTAGCCATTTCTTTAAAAATTGAGGCCAGCAAATATCTTCTATGTAAGATTCGTCTAAGTAACAACTGGAGAAGGAAGGAAAATATCTTTTTGCAGATCCATTAAACAATCCATCCTGCAATATCATGAACAAAGGAACAGTGTTTCAGAGAATCCTACAAATGATGCTAAAGGTCAGAAGGGCCATGCTCGTCAATTTTTGGGTACATCTAGAAGTAGCTAAGAGAGAGGAAAAATCCTGGGACTCTTGTTTCTTGGAAGAAGTAAATGATTCTTTTTCATCCTGGCTTTCCCCGGATGAAAGTATACTTTATTTATTAATCCCGTTGCCCTTGAATGTTGACTATGTAAGTATAATTGATTTTTTCTTACCAAAGTCAAGCTGGTGCAACCAGCCTAACTGCAGAGAAGAGCACCCTGCAAAGAGGAAATGAAATCACGACAAGCATCTGCCTTTCAGGTTTTAATGATGGAAAGACTTGCTTCATAGATTCAGGAGGTTTCTGCATTCCTTTTAGTCAACTATTTTCAGAAGTTTCCAGTCTGGAAACTGGGTTGCAGTTTCCAGACTGGAAAAGGGTTGCAGACAGAAGCCTACTCACATGAATTCTGCCGTCTTTGATGGCAGGACCATCCTCAGCAAGACGAAGGATGAACAGCCCCATGTTGTACTCCTTCCCACCCCTGAGGCTGAATCCAAAGCCTCGGGGGCCCCGCTCCAGCTCCACTGGGTAACAACCGAGGCCCTAGAGAGAGAAGCGTAAGGAGAACAAGTCTGCATGGGCTGCTTCATTTACAGTGTGAAGAAGGACTACTTCTATGCTGGAAGAAATGATTTATACTCTGAATATGCACTATTATTTAAGAAAATTGAAGTATAGTTAATTTATGATGTTAGTTTCAAGTATACAGTAAAGCAATTCAGTTATGCATACACACATACATGTACAAAACTGTTCTTTTCAGACTCCTTTCCATTGTGGGTTATTATATTGAGTATAGTTCCCTATGCTCTACAGTACGTCCTTGTTTACCTGTTTTACATGAAATAGCATGTATGCTGCTGCTGCTAACCCACTTCAGTCGTGTCTGACTCTGTGCGACCCCATAGATGGCAGTCCACCAGGCTCCCCCGTCCCTGGGAATCTCCAGGCAAGAACACTGGAGTGGGTTGCCATTTCCTTCTCCAATGCATGAAAGTGAAAAGTGAAAGTGAAGTTGCTCAGTCGTGTCTGACTCTTCACGACCCCATGGACTGCAGCCTACCAGGCTCCTCCGTCAATGGGATTTACCAGGCAAGAGCATGTATATGTTACCTTAAACTCCAAATTAATCCCCCTCTCTCTGCCCCGCTATCCCCTTCGGTAACCATACGTTTGTTTTCTATGTCTGCGGGTCTGTTTTTGCTTTGAAAAGAAGTTCATTTGTATCTATTTTTTGATTCCACATATAAGTGATACCATATTATATCAATATGCACTTCTGTATTATAAAGAAGGGATGTAAACTGGTTGAAGGGCTACTTGATTTCTATAAATACAGCCTAAATAAATTTGAAGGTTACATGTTTTCTCTACTAGTTGGTCAATAAACAGACCAGAAAACAGAATTTTGGAAAGTGTTTCCTTTAAGTAGATTTTGACTAATTTCTCTGAAAAAAGAAAACAACAGAGACAACAGCATCAAAACATGTATATTATCAAGTGTGAACATCGCCAGCCCAGGTTGGATGCATGAGACAAGTGCTCGGGGCTGGTGCACTGGGATGACCCAGAGGGATGGGATGGGGAAGGAGGTGGGAGGGGGGTTCAGGATGGGGAACACATGTAAATCCATGGCTGATTCATGTCAGTGTATGGCAAAAACCACTACAATATTATAAAGTAACTAGCCTCCAACTAATAAAAATAATTGGGGAAAAAAAAGAAAAATTAGCCTCCAACTAATAAAGATAATTGGGGGAAAAAAAAGAAAACAACAAAAAAACCCCAATCCTACTTTGATTAGCTAAAACACTGCTATTTCTCAGTACTTAGCTAAGGGTTCAAATTTCTCCAATAGAAGGTAAACTTTCTCTCTTTCCTTTCTCTCGTGGACACTAACAGAATGCAAAAAACAAAGTAGGTCCTTAGGAATGATCAGACTAGGAAAAAAATTCATCTGAACTGATCCTGAATTAAGTTTCATCAGTGTCAGTGACTCAGCAACAGAAAAGACTAGTCTGCACCTGGGGGACATCTCTGTTACCTGATTGTGCCGACTGCCTACGACAGAAATTGTTGCGGTGTCAGGTTGTGCAAGGTGCTTGTGGTCAGACCACGAGTGTCGGTAGGAAATGGAGACGTCTTTTCCCATCTCACCTTCTGTGGCACTTCTACAGGAGAGAGAAATCAAGTCATTCTTAGAACTGAGAAGAAGAAAAACAGCCTAAACGTAAATCAATTTCGTTTCCTTCAAAAGCTGAACCTTACCATTCTCCCTCTGACAAACTGCTATAAAGACAGTCTGAAGCAGAGAGACGCCAGGCAAAAACTGGCTATTAACTCTAGCATGGCTTAAAGTCTATCAACACCTCCATGCTGGGATTTTTTGGTTTTGTTTTAAGGGTGTCTTAGCACATTTTACATCAAGGAAAACTGCGCTCAAATCACTGAACCGGAGGGCAGATAAGCTGACCTTGTCACAGTGAAAAATGGCTCTCCTGCAGCACCAACGCCCATGAAGATGCTGAATTTCTGGAAATTGAGTTTTTGTTTCATGGCTAATATTTTCAACAAAAGAGGGGAAAAACAATGCACAAATACTGCTCAGGTAAGTCTGAGGAGACGGTAATCCATGTGGGTCTAAGCTTCTCTTCCAAAACTGTAAGGACCTAGGGCGGCAGCACAAGGGGACAGTACTGTCACAGCGTTCTAATCCCCACTTGTTAGCAGAATGGGTGCTCACCCTGCACCCTGGGCCAAGGCTGGCAAGAGGGAGGAAGGGACAGAGGCACTGGAGGATGGAGGTCTCATCTTGACCTTACTGGCTGGCTTCTGCATAACTGTGTGGACATGGGGGTGGGTGGGCAGGTAATGAAAAGTGGGGAGACAAGGAGAGAAAAAAACCAAAACCTGAGAAGAGCAGCCCTACCTGTCCCCAGGTATGTGGTTGGCCTGTGACTGTCCCACAGGCCTGTGCTGCAGGGCTGGGCTTTGCCGGGCAGAGTTTGTTCCTGATGGTGGACCAAGATGCTCTGTTCAAAGGCAAAAATGAGAGAAATAAGAATTTGTACCAAAAAATGTGGAGGCCGAGAAGATCTATGAAAGTGAGATGATAACAAGCTCCCAACGGTAGGGACTACTGTCTGCAACTGAAATGTTATGTCTTTTCCCCTGTTGCTTCTGATGGATGTTTATGTTTGGAGAAAACAGGACTCATTCTTACTGCACCCGCTTTCCCTCTTTCACCATTGTTTTGGTGGCCTTTCCACCCAACATGAAAACAAATGAACACACTCCGTTGTTATTATTGAGAGGATGGAGCTCCAGGAACTGTCTTTTAACCTATTTATGGGTTTCCCAGGCACACTGCTCATAACTGGTAAACTGCCCTAGGTGACAAAGACAGGTCTTAAGAATGCTGGAACACAGAGGCCAGTCTGGAAACCACACACATATCCTTAACCTGCACCTTCAATATAGCAGTAGTCATTTCACCTGACTTTAGTGTCAGAGACAAACTTAGAAAATCATCCTGAGTGTTGACAAATGTTTATAAAGATTTTAATGATTCTGCTTTCTCAGAGCACAAAAGAAATGAAAAAAAAAAAAGAAACATTTGTTTCTGTATCATCCTCAACAGCTCTAGAACTCCTGTTGTTGCTTGACAGATTTCATAACTAAGTTGAGTAACTCCGTGCATCTAGAATTAGATGCCAGTTCATGGGAGATTACAGTTAAAAGACACTCTTCAGGTTGTTCAACTTGCATTTTTAAAGCTGAAACTTTCTAATGTTTTATCGCACCAAAATTTCAATTCATAGAATATTTAAAGTATCAGAGAGAAAAAGACTTCCCTGGTGGCACAGTGGGTTAAGAATCCACCTCCCAGTGCAGGGGACAAGGGTTTGATCCCTGGCCCAAGAAGATTCTACATGCCGCGGGGCAGCTGAGCCCCTTGTAGCACAACTACTGGGTCCTGTGCACCAGAAGCCTGTACTCTTCAGCAAGAGAAGCCCAGGCACCGCAGCTCGAGAGTAGCCCCTGCTTGCAGCAACTAGAGAAAGCCTGCACAGCACAATGAAGACCCAGTGCAGTCAAAAGTAACAGAAATTATCTTTAAAAGAGAGAGAACATAGATTAATGATGAAGATCATGAACTTTAGAGCAAGACTGATGGGGTTTAAGCCAGATCCCATCATTTTCTAGCTGTGTTCTTGAGCACATAACTTCTCTGTGGTTCTAATCATCTCATCTATAAAAATGAATTACAGCTACCTCATAGGGTTATTAAGTTACTATATGCTATAACAGTGCCTTGTATATCATATTACTATTAAAAAATGCTTCTGTTAAAATGACCATTATGGCTATCATCATAATCATCAAAATGACTGGGGCTATATTTCTCTCAAGATGTACACTCTGAAATACTGACCTAACTTCAGCAAAAATGTCCCATGTAAGGGCCATTTTTAGGTTAGAATATGTAGAAACTGATAAAATCTGAATCTCAGAATATAATGAAAACAGAGAAAGGCTGATGTGAAAGACAAGGAATATGAATGGTTAGGAAGCAATTTCTGCTGAGAAAACTGGGACTTCAGGGTCACTAAGTGCATTGCTCTTTTATGGCTTGGCTTAAGTTGTTTCTCTTCAAAGTTCTTGGGACTAAAAACATAGATAAATAATTTATTCTTATTTAAGAACTTCTTAAAACTGAAAGCACTCTGAAAACACAGGCCAGAGTATGAACGGTGGTGGGAGGAGAGTGGTGGGATCTGGCTACGCTGTGGCAGCCCCGGAGGGTTTCTGACTCTGCCTCTGCCTGCTGGGCTTGTGTGTCTACATGGCTTTCAACACCACGTACCCGATGTACAGGTGGAGGCCCAGCTTTGCAGAGCTCATCCAGAGGGTCGTCATTCCTCTTTAAACTGAAGTGATCCAGAAAGGGAGAGTGGAGCATGAATTCTTTTAATCTGAATTTTTGGCAGGGGTGTGACCTGGAAACTTGTCCGTTGTGCGTTTATTCACTGTCATGAATTTAACTTCCCTCGTTACCTTAACAAATTCCTCACACTGGCCTCCTTAACCCCCAGTCTCCTCTTTACTCCGCCTCCTGGACTCCCGTCCCGGCTCAGACACTGAACAGCCCACAGCTTGCTTAGGAACCTACAGCAACTCTTTATTGCTCCTAAGGCACTATTCAAACCTGTCACCTGGCCCTCCTGGCTTCCCAGTTCATCTCCTGTTCAAAAATGTCCTGTCCTCTGTGAAATCTTACCTGGCTCCCTATGCCCACTTTTCAGAGTAGTTACCCCATTATATCAGAATTGGGTCAAATACCTGTCTTCCCTGCTAGACTGTGGATTCCTTGACTGCAGAAATCACCCCTCGTTCACATTCCTGTGCCCATTAAAAAGTCCAGAAGTCCTTTCACCCTTTGCTTACTGGGTATGTCAATTTCTAGTTACCTGTCTCTAAACTTGAGTACTCATTATAGAGTTGAATTCTGTCATTGTAAATTCATGGCTACTATCGAGGCAATAGAATCTGCTGGGAAATATTACATCTATCAAGATGTATCAATATTACATCTATCTTCCAGATGACTGGAAGATACCTATATCTTTGTATTAATTAGTCCAACTTAGATACTTTTTTTGGCTTCACTGTCTTGGCTAGAGGAATGGGTATGTAACTTCAGAGCAGGACAGTATAAATAAGCTGATCAATTTCAAATTTTCCTCTACCTTCTCCTAAGGATAAGAGACGTCACTGCTAGGCAAAAAGCACCACAAATTGATACTTATTCTTACATGTTGTTTTTTTTTGCTACCCTCTTCTAGGTTAAATAAACTTTCTATCAGTATTTAATTTTTAGTCCTTCAAACCATCCTATATAACATCTCCAACTTACGTGTAAAAGACAGTCTACTTCTCAAATATTTATTCCACAGTATCAAACAGGCTTATGTTTTCTCTGAATTTTATCTGAAAATTCTTCAAATAGTAAAGCAATGTGCATCTTTACCTCAATGAGAATTAAAACTTTTTCTAGAGTTTCTACATGTGCCTACTTAAGAGGAAGTGTATTATCAGAGGGTTTCCCAGGTGGATAAACACAAAATTCCAGTTAAAACTATAGCAACAAACATTATAATATACTGGCAATCATTTTACCAAGAATAAATAAGAACCTTATGAGATTAGGTTCTTATATGTATGTGTGTGTGTGTGTGTGTATAGAACCACCTTATGAAAGGGTCTTATATGTATGTGTGTATATATACACACAAATTCTTAAAATTTTATATATATATATATATATTATATACATATAGATAATATTAAACCAGCAGAATAGGATAGAGAGCACATTTAAAGAGGAAGTTAACATACAGAAGAGATGGCTCCACAAATCAATGAGGAAGTACTACTAATAGCTGGCACTAGAAAAACTGGCTCACTCTAAGAATAAAAAATAAAACTGGATCCCTCCTAAAACTATATATAAAGTTAGGCTCCAGATGGATTAAAAATCTAAATGCAAAATTAGAAATCTAATAAATGATAATGTAAGAGAAAGTCTCTGTGATATGGGGTGGGGAGCAATAGCTTATTTTAAGCAAAATTTCAAAAGTATAAGCCATGAAGTAAAAATTGACTAATTTGGTGACATCTAAATTAAGAATCTGTATAATAAAGGGAGCCATAGTTAAAGTTAACATACAGATGACAGGAAAAGGTATTTGTACTTTCTAAAACTAAATTTGGCTAATGCCTATCTAATTCATAAGGAATCTCTAAATGCCAACAAGAAAAAGATAGCAACTCCACAAGAAAAATGAGTAAAGGTTCTGAAGAGGCAATTCACAAGAAGAAAAACAGATGCTCAAATTCATGGGTAAGCAGAGAAATGCAAATTATCTACCAATGAAGTAACATTCTCCATACTGTACCCTAGCCAACTTGAAAGCTGGATAAGGCCAAGTGTTGGGGGAGGTGATGTGAAGATAAGGAATCCTCAGTGTTCTGTTGGTGGAAACGTAGATGCCGCAGCCATTACAGAAGAAAATCTGATAGTACAGTACCTGGTCAAAGTAAGCAATTTCTTTGATCAATTTCACTGCAATAAATTCTCACACAGTTTTATAAAATACATATAAGAAAGTGTATGAGGATAGTCTGTGATGATGTGGAGTCAGAGACAATGTGGATTGGGGAGTAGACAAGTAATGAGTGGTAAATATACAGTACGGGAAATGGTCAAGTAGTTAAAAGCAATCGATATGTTTACCCAGCAACCTGGATAAATCCTGAAGGCACATAATGCTCTGATAACAAAAGAACAAGCAACCAAAGAAAAGATCAATAAGTTTAGACAACATCAATGTTAAACTTCTGTGCATCAGAAGACAATATCAAGAAAGTGAAAAGATAAGCCACAAAATGGGAGAAAAGACTTGTAAACCATATATCTGATAAGGGTCTAAAATCAGAATATAAGCCTTATAATTCAACAATAAAAGAGGCAACCCAATTAAAAGTGAGCAAAGGATTTGAATAGACATTTCCCCGAAGAAAGATATGCAAGTGACCAACATCACATGAAAAGACACTTAATCTCATTAGTCACCAGGGAAATACAAATCAAAACTACTGCGACTACTTCACACTCACTGGAATGGCTTACACACACACACACACACACAAAGAAAATGGTGAGGATGTGGAGAAATTGGAAGCTTCATACATTACTGGTGGGATTACAAAACAATGCAAGTGTTGGGGAAAACAGTTTGGCAGTTCCTCAAAAAGCTAAGCATGAGTTACTATATGACCTAACAATTCTACACCTAGGTATATACCCAAGAAAAATGAAAACATATATCTGTACAAAAATCTGTACACCATTGTTCATAGCAGCATTTTTCACAATAGAAAAAAACCCAAGTGTCTATCAAATAATGAATAAATAAGCAAAATGTATATACACATAATGGGATGTTATTCTTTAGTCATAAAAAGGACA